GGGGCTTGTGTCACAGTTTTAAATAAAGTAAGAAAAAATAATTTATTTCTCTATTTATATTAATATATAATATACTTCAACCCTTTGCACTCCGAGCATGTTTTTCGCTAAAAAAATCATTCACTATCATCAATACATACATTTTGATTTTCATTATATTTTGTTTAAGGAACAAGCTCGATAGTAGTGCTTTTAGAAAGAGGGCAATAAATCCGTAAGGAGTGCAAAGGGTTAATAAAAGTACTGTGAAATTGTACTTTTCCGTGTTATATTTTATTACACATTTATATTATATATAAAAAAACGTATCATGATTATTATGAGTGAAAAAAAATATTTATCTATGTAATATAAACTCACAGAACTTTTTTATTGCAATTTTAACATGTCAGTCATATGTGTCTGACGCTAAGAAGTTCTACATAAATCGTGTCAGGCATATATAACAAATCGGTCTGAAATTTTTTTGACTGGTAAAAAAATCAATATAGTGTAAAGATAGTGTTTTAATCTTTTTTTTTCAACTAAATTATCTACTACTAAATTTTCATGATTCATGTAAAATTTTTCCTGATACTAAATATATGAACGTTTCGAGGCTATATTTGTCCTATCATCAGTGTAAAATTAAACTGATTTTTATTTAAATATAGTCCTATCCTCGATTTCACTGTTTATTATTGTTTATTTATTACTGCAAGTTTCATCAAAATTATTATATCTTTTATAAATATCTGCATTTTTTTAAATATGACCACTTCTAAATATATATATATATATATATATATATATATATATATATATATATATATATCTTGATAGTTTTTTCGACGTTGAAACATATTTCAAAGTAACTAGCAGCCCATTCGTCGAAATAAAAAAGGTATAAAGTGTAAAAACTTTTATTTATACGTTTCGACACAAGATGCGTGTCATCATTCAGCAACACAGGACAAAAACACTCAACAAAAATTTATTTTAAAAAAATTAAACTTAATAACATATTAGAGAAAAACATTTTTTTAAAAAATTATGAATAACTAAAAGATTTGAAACTAATTTGACTAAAAGTTATAAAATACATAATTGTGAGAGTCTGGATGCTCGGTATGGGCGTGTTTCTCGTCTCACAATTATGTATTTTATAACTTTTAGTCAAATTAGTTTCAAATCTTTTAGTTATTCATAATTTTTTAAAAAAATGTTTTTCTCTAATATGTTATTAAGTTTAATTTTTTTAAAATAAATTTTTGTTGAGTGTTTTTGTCCTGTGTTGCTGAATGATGACACGCATCTTGTGTCGAAACGTATAAATAAAAGTTTTTACACTTTATACCTTTTTTATTTCGACGAATGGGCTGCTAGTTACTTTGAAATATATATATATATGTATATATATATGTATATATATATATATTTATATATATATATATATATATATATATGTATATATAAATAATTCATTTTTATATCTTGGGCTCAGTACTTATATTATTTCCGTATAATAAAATTTATAGCCAGACATAAACTCACCAACAACAATATTCTTTATTTCTTAAAATATGTATTATACATACATATATACATGCATATATATATATACATATTATATATATATATATATATATATATATATATATATATATATTCAAATTAAAGTGTATGAAACCCCATAATAAAATATAAAGCATTATTGCACTGCATAAAAATATAAAATAAATTACTGTGTTACATTCTATAAAAAAGTATTTTTGTTGATATTAGACATATTTTAGAAAACTAAAATTAAGAAAATTATTAGCATTGTCTTGAAAAAATGGTGTAACACTCTCTTATGTTATTATCTAGTATCAAACTATTTACATAAAACATCAACATTTATATATGACTAATATCTATTAAATTTAATATTACAAAAACCAATTTTTTTTTTTCAAAATTAATCCACATATTAAGAAAACTTCCAGTTCATTCATAATTAATATTAATAAAATAGAAACTAACTAAGTTCGATTCAAACAATAAAATACTGATTAATAAATTATTGGCAACATGGCAAATTCTACTGTATTAAATTGCTCATTTATCATTCGTTGTTTTTTTAATCAATGTGAAATAAAATCGAATTTATCTTAAAATATTTATTCGATAACGTGTTTTTATTTTTTATATAAAAGCTAAATTTTTAGATGCTAAGGGAAAAAAACTGATAAGCTAAATTTTTAGATGCTAAAGGAAAAAAACTGCTAAGCGTAGTTTTATAAATCTGTTATTCCAAAAATTAAGTCAATTTTAATTACTTTCCACAGCATGGATTACGAATTTGAGAGCATAAAATACCTCTGTCTTCCTATAATTATTTTTATAAATATACTTCATATGTAATATTTTTCAATGTTATATTTTACATTTATATTTTAAAATGTAAAGACATTACACGTGCCATGTCACAAAGCCATAGTTTCTAATTATCTTATTTTCCCCGGAGCATCCCGGAGCAGATTAATCATGATGAATTATAAAATAAAAATGTTTTTTTTTTTTTAAATTTGCGGTGAAATTTTTCCCGAAGTCTAATTAGTGTGCACCGAGAAATATTTTTAATTCGATTTGGAAAATGATAATAAAATATTACAGTCGCAAAAAATAATCATATAATTTATTTATAAATTGAAAGAATATGAAACATAAATTATTTCTGTGGTAAGTTTGAGCCTTTACCATTTACTAAATGTCATTTATAATGGCTTGTGAATATTGTTGATATGAAAGTATTTACTATATATTGTTATTCATAAAAACTTTAGTTACCAAAAAGTGAATATAATAATTTAATCAATGTGACTCAAAGATATATGTTGTTTGTTGCATTTTTTCATTCATTTCCACAATATTACTATAGTTTTATAATTCATCACATCTTAAAATTTTCCCTTAACAAACTCCAAAAAGATTTATCAAAATTCGAATAACCGTTTAGGAAGAGTTTGAAATCATACACCCGTACAGAAGAATTTGATATATAAAGTATGACAGTTCTGTCAAAATGTGGTCAATGTCTATAATCTAATATGTCTATAATCTATATATTGTTTCTTGCATTTTTTTTTCATTTATTTCCACAATATTACTTCAGTTTTATAATTCATAACATCTTCAAAATTTTCCCTTAACAAACTCCAAAAAGATTTATCAAAATTCGAATAACCGTTTAGGAGAAGTTTGCATTCCTACATCCGTACAGAAGAATTTTATATATAAGGTAGACAGTTCTGTCAAAATGTGGTCAATGTCAAACCATAATATGTTGTTTCTTGCAATTTTTTTCCATTTATTTCCACAATCTCACTATAGTTTCATAATACATCACACCTTAAAAATTCCCCTTAACAAACTCCAAAAACAATTATCAGAATCCGAATAAACGTTTAGGAGTAGTTCGCATTCATACATCCGCACAAAAGGATTTTATATATATAAGGTATGACAGTTCCGTCAAAATGTGGTCAATGTCAAATAATAATACGTAGTGTTATGAATTTTTCCATTCATTTCCACAATATTACTATAGTTTTACAATCCATCACAACTTAAAATTTTTCCGTAACAAACTCCAAAAAGATTTATCAGAATCCGAATAACCGTTTAGAAAGAGTTTGAGAATCATACACCCGTACAGAAGAGTTTTATATGTAAGGTATGACTGTTCTGTCAAAATGTGGTCAATGTCAAACAATAATATGTTGTTTCTTGCAAATTTTTCCATTCATTTCCAGAATATTACTATAGTTTTATAACTAGGAGGAGGAGGAGGAGGATCTAGAATATTCTTTAGTGTCGCGTATGACAAAAATAAGTCAATCTATTAAACATGCGGACAATCAAACGATGATATGTTGTTTTTTTTGCTATTTTTTGCATTTATTTCTACAATATTACTTTAGTTTTATAATGCATGACATCTTAAAAAATGTTCTTAACAAACTCCAAAAAGATTTATCAAATTTCGAATAACCGCGTAGGAGGAGTTTGAGTTTGTAGATCGGTACAGTAGAATTTTGTATAGAAGAATCATTAACTTTTATTCTATCCTAATTCTTGAATAATTGTAAAGCGGGTAGGGGGAGGCTCTAGAACATTTTGGACAAATAAGACAAACTTATAAATATGTTGCATTAAGCCAAATGTACTTGTATGATTTTATACAGATTTGCTGATGCAAAAATAATCTAGAGCAAAAAAGAATGAATATTTCAAAGAATCTTTATTTTTTCAACGTTTTGTAACTGAATTATAATTATATAATTGCATCTGCCAAATATGTACTGTTGACTGTATTTTATATTATTTTAATTTCTGGAACATCTCAGTTGTTTTTCGGCAATAATAATGTAGACGTTACATTTTTCTTGTATATTATATTAGTTTAATATTATCTAGACTCATAATTTTAGCTAAATTCAAATTTCATGTGAATCGACATTTCTAGCGTCCGATTTAAATGAATCAAAGAACTTTCTGCTTATCTTAACAACATAATTGATTTTAGAAACAAAAATGTATATATATTTTTTTTATTTGTTTTTGTATATTTGAAATAATTAAGGTTTTATTTTTATTTTGACTAAAGTTCTAATATAATTTAAACAAATAATTTTAAATTTGCAATTCAGTTAATATACTTCTTATAAATATTAGACAATGTTACAATGTTTCTAATAATCTATTTGAAAACATTCAGTATCCCTCGAACATTTTGTTACGGTACGGGAAGTTCCAGCAATTTGCCTTAAAGCACAATGCCATACACCCCACTAGTTGCTATTTATTTTTACAATATTACTATAGTTTCATAATCCATCACACCTTTTTTTCCCTTGACAAACTCCAAAAAGATTTATCAAAATCCGAATAACCGTTCAGGAGGAGTTTGCATTCATACATCAGTAATAATACCATTTTATTGCTCTAAATAATCGACATTTAATTTTTTCTCCCAGAAACATTACGGCATATTGACATGTGCAGCAAGGAACGGCCACGCCGACTGCGTCGCCTTTCTGCTGCAAACAGTCGAGACCCTTGACAAGGAGCAGGGCGACCTTCAAGGGCGCACAGCCCTTCACCACGCGGCCGCCCAAGGTCATACAGACACTGTTAAGAAACTATTGGAGAGTGGGTCGTCGTTGATGGCCAAAGATAAGGTAAAGGATACAGGATACAGAGGTTAAATTCTGAACCGATCACTCTGAATCACTCATTAAACTATATTTATCTTGTCTTGTGTCTAATCAGTAGAGAGCACCTTTTACCTACTAGGTCAATATATGTCTCTATATAAGGTATGACAGTTCTGTCAAAATGTAGTCAATGTCAATATTACTATAATTTTATTATTCATCACATTTTCAAAATTCCCTTAACAAACTCCAAAAAGATTTATCAAAATCCGAATAACCGACCAGGAAGAGTTTGCATTCATACATCAGTAACAATTCCATTTTATTGCTCTAAATAATAGCCATATAATTTTTATTCCTAGAAACAGTTTTCTACAGACAGTAGATTTTATGTATCTATTTTTCTTAACAGTATTTTGTTAATTCTTATATTGTTCATTCTTGAAGCAGGAGATATTTTAAGAAAACATTTTCTTAAAACAAAGCTCATCTTCGTATGAATTTGTAATAAAAACTGTCATTTTGATGTTTTTTTAACTTCCCGTAGGGTAAGTTAATGTAATGGGCCGAAAATCGGAATTGAAAATTTTTACATTTCTCGACGTTTTGAAGGTTTCTGAACATTTTGGCATACCTCAGAAAAAATGGATGTGTGTGTGTGTGTGTGTGTGTGTGTATGTGTGTGTGTGTGTATGTATGTGTGGATACAAATTTCCAGTCACGTTTTAGGGCGCACGGATCAACCGATTTGAATGTTTCAAAAAACATTCGATTCCTATTGATAGGGAAAAGAGCTGATTAGTTTTTGGCAAAGGCAGGTCCAGCCGTTTCGGAGATACGGAGCAAAGAGTGCGGAAAATAGAAATCGAATTTTTGAGTGAACGGAGTATCCGATTTGAATGATCTAAAAAACATTCAATTAGTAATGATTGGGAGAAGTGTTTATTAGTTTTTGGCAAAGGCAGGCCCAGCCATTTCGAAGATACGGAGCTGAATATGTAAAAAATGGCAGTTTTTGAGAGAACTAAGCGTCCGATTTGAATGATTCAAAAAACTTTGTGCTTGTCCTAACAAAATAATTGATTTTGGAAAAAAAATTTTTGTTCCATTTTTTTTTTTTTTTTTTTTTTTTTTTTTTTAGTTTTTTGTTGATACAAATAATTTCAACTTTGCAATTCAGTTTATATAATTCTTATAAATATTAGACAATGTTACAATATTTATAATAATCTATTTGAAAACATTCAGTATTCCTCGAACATTTCGTTACGGTACGGGAAGTTCCAGCAATTTGCCTTAAGGCACGATGCCACCCACCCCACTAGTTTTTTTTTAACTTTTCGTAGGGTAAGTTATTGTAATGGGCCGATAATCGAAATTGAAAATTTTTACATTTCTCGACGTTTTGAAGGTTTCTGAACGTTTTGGCATACCTCAGAAAAAATGGATGTGTGTGTGTGTGTGTGTGTGTGTGTGTGTGTATGTATGTGTGGATACGAATTTCCAGTCACGTTTTAGGGCGCACGGATCAACCGATAGGGAGATGTGCTGATTAGTTTTTGGCAAAGGCAGGTCTAGCAGTTACGGAGAAAAAGAGCAAAGAGTGCAGAAAATAGAAATCGAACTTTTGAGAGAGAGTTTTTGAACGGATCATCCGATTTGAATAATCTAAAAAACATTCAATTTGTAATGATTGGGAGAAGAGGTGATTAGTTTTTAACAAAGACAGGTCCCGCCATTTCGAAGATACAGAACTGAATGTGCAAAAAATGGTAGTTTTTGAGAGAACTAAGCGTCCGATTTAATTGATTCAAAGAACTTTTTGCTTGTCTTAACAAAATAATTACTTTTGGAAAAAAAAATTGTTTTTAATTTTTTTCAAAAAATATTTTTGTAATTTTTGATAAAAAATTCAAAAAATGACCCAGGCTAAGCACAGTCTAAGCGCCACTCTGGTACAAATGTTTAGCCAAGTGCGTTTAGACTGAAGCACTTTTCCAATTTTGTGAAAAAAACTATTGAAAAATGTAAAAATGCCGCCAAGCTACGCACAGTACAAGTGAACATGTCGCACAGAATTATTTGAAAATTTGTTTAGACTGTGACTATACGGGAGCACTTTTTCATTTTTGTGCAAATTAGGCAACTATTTTTTAAAATTTAATTCGAAATGAAATGACGATTGTTAATGTTCTGGAGATAAATTGATTTATGATTTGATTTACATTTGATTTGCTCAAATATAACAAAAAACAGCAAAAATAACGAAAGTTACAGTAATTGTAATAATATAGTTGAAAGCGTTTAAAATTTCTCGAATATTTCATTACAGTACGGGAAGTTCCAGCAATTTGCCTTAAGGCACAATGCCATACACCACTAATTTCATTTTTTATTCGTCAGTAGAGTCTTTTCCATTATTTAAATTGAAATTTAATTTGCATGTTTGTAGAACCATTTTTCATGTTGCATATAAATTTGCTTGTCAGTGGAATCCAATTTTTTATTTGACTAGGATTATTTTGCTTATTAGTAGAATCCCTTTTCTATCTTACTCATTAGTAAACTTCAAGTTTTCCTTTTATTTCAATCTTATATATTTTTATCACAGAAGTTCTATTTTAAATCGACTTTTTGCTTGTCAGTAGAGTCCTTTTCTGGTTTTCGATTGATATAATTTGCTCCTTAGTAGAATCACTTCAATTATTTGACTGTAGTTAAATTTTTTTGTTAGTACAGTCCTATTTTTTATTTCATATTGACTTGTTGTGTTTTTTAATCAAATAGCAATTTAATTTGTTCGTTTTAGATTTTTTCTAAATTTTCTTGTCAGTAGACTCCTTTTTTAATAAATCTTCAGAAAAATCCTTTTTATATTTTTGGTATTATTATTTCATTCATCTGTTAGTAGTCTTACATGACTTTCATATCGATTTTCAAAATAAAATACAATTTTTTTTTATTTTCCAGGGAGGTAGGACGCCTCTGCATTTGGCAGCAGAAGGCGGCCACGTGGCAGTATGCGAGTTGCTGTCATCTAGAGGTGACACCAATTCGAAATCTTTATCCTTAAGTGACCAAGGAGGTTGTACGCCACTGCATTTAGCAGTGATGAACAAACATTGTGAGGCCACGAAGGCGCTACTGACTTTGGGGGCTTCTGCTGAATGTGTAAACGAGGTAAGAAAAAATTTATATATATATATATATATATATATATATATATATGTATGTGTACTAGCTGACCCGGCTAACGTTGTTTTTCCATCAACAATATTTTGCCGCTTTCCAGAAGTTCTTATAATAAACATGATATATTAATAATAATGTTATATTTTTATTACACACATTTCTTTACATTTCGATAATTAATTCGAACGCATCATAGTGTTTTGTTTATTTTAATTGTATTTTTGTCAAATAGTGAAATATTTTTTTTAATCAATGACTAAATTAGATTTTAGTCTGAATCAACGCAGTACAATTATCTAAATATATAATTTTTTATATAAATATCAGATTTTTCAAATATTCAATGTCAATTTCATATATCCAATATGCACTAAATTTTTAAATGTCAAAATATTTCCTTCTTGGTCAAAATTTAATATAATATGATATGATTTATATTTATAATTTGATTGGCAATATTGTCTATAACATAACTTGGAATAATTAATTTATTTGTTTCTTATTGAAGTCGTTAAAAATTTGTTTTTCTTCACTGTCAATATATATATATATATATGATAAAATTGTTCTTGGGCATCCATCCAGTAATTAAAAACAGTTTTATTGAAGGAAAATGTTTTTATTCAGAAAACATACGTTTCGGGTCTTGATTTGACCCATCTTCAGTGCTACAATTAAATATTTTAGGTTTACAATTTAAAACAATATAAAACATACATAATTACAGAAAAATATAAATAAAAACATGTAAAAAAGCCTAAATCTAACCAATTTAATAAATTTGTTTTATAACTAATATATATTGTGAAAGTATATAAAAATGAAAAACAAACATCGAATAAACAAATATAAAGAACTCACCATACAAATAAATTGAAAAAAAAAACACAAAAACACACAAAAATTGCACGAAAAAATTATGAAACACAAAATGATAAAACGTCGAGTTATGATAAATTTTAAATAATTGTGAAATTAAAATAAAAACAAAAATTAATGATATATTTTATTATAAAAAAGCTTATTCCAAACAAAACATGTTGTCCTGGTTAAAACATAGTGTTTTAAATTGTAACCCTGAAATATTTAATTGTAGCACTGAAGATGGGTCGAATCAAGACCCGAAACGAATGGTTTCATAATAAAAACATTTTTTTCCAATAAAACTGTTTTTAATTACTGGATGGATGCCCAAGAAGAATTTTATCATATTTCACCATCTGAAGAAAAACCTCTCGCATTATATATATATATATATATATATATATATATATATATATTTATTTTTAATTTTCAAAAATTTTTCTATGCTCTTTCCATACGAAGCTTAATTGAATTGCGCGAATTGAACTGAAACTTTTAGAGAATTGTTTTTTATCTATTTGGAACCATTTGAGCCCCTGGGAGCAAGGAAATTCGAAAATGACCATTTTAAGGACCACCCTAATATATATATGTATATATATATATATATATATATATATATATAAATAATTTAAGTCTGTATCTATTTTTGTTTTCAGAAAGGTTTTACACCTCTGCATTTAGCCTGTCGTCTTGGGTGCAGAGGAATTACTGAAACTTTAATACAATTTGGTGCCCCTTTAAATAAACAAGCCAAGGTACAATATTTCTTTTGTTACACTTAAATAAACTACATTACACTTTTCCAAAAAATCACTTTTTGTCCTAAGCTTTTTTTTACAAATTTCTGAATTTTGTCTATTTTTTAAAAAGCACTCTTAGCAATATTTCTCTACCTATTCATGTTTATATTTTTGATGTAGTTCTTTGTCTAAGTATACTTTTTGTCTTCCTTAATTTGAGTGCTTAATGATGACACACACTTGGTGTCGAAACGTATAAATCTTCATATTATTTTTGCCTTCATTTTTCAATAATAATTATTTCTATTCATTTGTTTGCCAGAATGGAAACACTCCTCTTCACGAAGCCTGTCTATCAAACGAGATGGAGCTGATGGAATTGTTGATATCCAAAGGAGCAGATTTAAATTGCGTCAACGTTGTAAGAACTGAATTAACTTAATTAAATTAAAATTAACTATTAAGTAACCTTAATTGTACATTTTGAAAAATTAAATTAATTATCTATTACTTTTTTTCTATTTAGAGAAACGAAGCTCCGATCCACCTAGCAGCAGAATTGGGCAGGACAGAGGCGTGCAGGATGCTTTTAGCAGCAGGGGCTGATTTGAGTCATCAACAAGACACCAATGGAAGTGGGCCAAGGTCGCCAATGTTTTTGGCAGCTAGAGGAAGCTTTACGGCAATTGTGGATATGATAATACAGACTGCCAGGCTAGATTACCCAACCAAAGTAGTAATAGTCCCTATCAAATATTATTAAAAGAATTGTTATATATGTTATTTATCAATTTTTACGTTTTTAGGATGATGATGACCAAGCTGGTGATGGATATCCATGCAAAACTAAGCCTATTATAAATACTGCAAGGAGGAAACTTCTTAGTACTGGTGACTCTTCTGGTAAAAACATGATTGTTATTATCAATTCTCTTAATATTTATTAGTTTTATGTGCATTTATTAGACCAACTACTTGCCTTAAAAATTCACTACCACATACGGAATATCCAGATGTTTTAAAATTTTATCCAAAACCACCAAAACAATTAACCAAGACTGATCAATCATATCAAAGTTCTAATGTTCCTTCTAATATACAAAGTTTATTACCAGTTTCTAGTTTCTATATATAATTTCAACTGTCCTAATGTCCTAAAATTGTTACTAGAACAGGAACAACTCCAGATATCTCCAAAATTTACTCAAAAACCTCATAAAATTTTTACCAAAAATGATCAGTCTCTTCCAAGTTCTAACCAAAACTTAATATTTCTTCTGATGTACAAAGTTTCTTACTAGTTTCTGGTCTCTAGGTGACATTTTATGTATTCCTAATGCTCTTAGATTATTACTAAAATAGTAGCAATTCTTGGCATATCCAAAATTTACCCAAAACTCTCATAAAAACTTTACCAATGTTGTTCAGTTTTTTTCCAAAAGCAGACCAAAACTTAACATTACTTCTAATGTGCTAAATTTGTTACTAGTTTCTAGTCTCTAGACACCATTTTAAGTTGCCCTGATAGCCTAATTTTTTTTACTAGAACAAAAGCACACCCAAAATCTTCACCAATGTTATTCAGTTTCTTCCAAGTTTTGACTAAAACTTATTATTCCTTCTAATGTACAAGGTTTGTAACAAGGTTTTGGTTTTCAGACACCATTTTAAGTTGTTCTAATATCCTAAAATTATTACCAAAATAGAGAAATTTTTTGGACATCTTCAAGCTTTTGGAAATCCAAATGCTGGTCATTCATATCAAATGTTTTCAACCAAACACGATTGTTATCATAACAAACAAAGTTTATCACAAGTTTCTAGGTAATAAAATTCATTTAAAGTTGTGCCAAGTCCTTTAAAATCTTACCAAATAGGAAAATGTTTTAGACATGTCCAAACTTTACCAAAAACCACGATAAACACTCCACCAACGTTGTCCAGTCTCATCTAAGATCTGAAACAAATACAACAACTCATCTGGTCTACCAAATTTATTGGCATTTTAGTACTCTTTTCAGCACCAATTTTATGTCCATTATTACTGAAACAGTAGCAAAATTCAGACACATCCAATACACCACCAAAACTCCACCAAAATTTTCTAAACCCACCAAATCTTCCCCCAAACCTATCAGCACCACCAAAATTCTCATCACATTAGTAGCCAATTTATTACATTATTTTTTAAGATTGGACTTCAGTAGACGAACCCTTAGTGCCATCAGCCTGCACATTACCAACAACAGCAGCATCATCAACCTGCAACTCTGAAGATTCTGAACATCTTCAAAAAATTTTGCACAAACTGTCCCACAGATTTCTTCAAGACGGTGACTGGAGGGCTTTGGCGTCTCATTGGGCCTTCACCGAGGACCAAATCAAGGCCATTGAGCACCAGTATGCAGGTAAGATAATAGATAAATTGAAGCCATACTTTTATATTTGTAATTAAAATTAACATACATTAATTTACTGTTTGTATTTACTTTTTCGCTGGTGATACAATATCATTCTTTGTACAGCTGTAATATCTGTCTTGCCTAAAAAATTGAAGCCATACTTTTATATTTGTTTTATTTATCAAGCCCTGCACATAGCTTGATCTATGAATCATTTTCTTTTTTATGTGAATGTTAATGCAATGATCATCATCAATATTACGAGGTAATGAATTAATCATATTATTAACGTCAACAGGCACATTTATAATTTGGCCAAATATTTCAAATTATCCATTTGCATGTTGCAATCGTCTAATTTGCATGAAACAAAACCTAGATAAAATTAACTTCTTAGATACAGTATCTAGTTTAGGTAGATAATTTTATTATGTTTTTTTGTGTTTTTAGGTCCCAATAGTTATAAGGAGCACGGTTATAGAATGTTGACGATTTGGTTGAATGCTTTGCCTCGTAGTGCAGTTCCTTCCAAAGAACTTTGTTCAGGTCTAAGGGCTATTGGAAGGGACAATATTGCACAAAAGGTTACTGCTAAATTGTTGAAGGAAAGTCAGAAATCTGAGAGCAGACATCGAGATAGACATTTGTCTCAGTGTGTTGTAATTTAATATTTATACCCAGTAAAATGCAATCCAAAGCCAATTTTTAATAAGACAATCAGAACATTTTTATTGGTGGTTATTGAAACATTGTGGAACTTTGTTTTTGTCAGAAAATTCTATTTGCTGATTTTACGCTTTCTAGGCGTTTCAAGTCATTCTGAATTGTTTGACAGTAAAATTGTACAGCAGATGCTTCATGAACGTCTTTTGCACAAATTCAAAAACTTCAAATCTATTCATATAAATTTGTATCTAAATATACGTATCTCATAACATTTCTAAATTATTTTATTTTACAGCAAGATGAAATTATTTATTATATCTTAAGATGGAACTAAAAAGTTTCCTTTCTAAAAACATATCAAAAATTTGAATCTGTTTCCAAACAGTCAATTCTAATCAGACCCAAATGGTTTCAAAAAGTTTATAAAAATGTAATTGTTTATGTTTATATAAATGTATTATATATAAAATATTTATGTATATAAATGTATAATATAAAATATAATAAATAATGTTTGAAAAGATGTTGATTAGATAAATTATTTAGAGCCGTTTTGCCGAATCCTCTTTCATTAATATAAAATAAAAATAAATAGATAAAATAAGTATGAACAAGAGAAATGGTATATCTTTAAAAATTAATTTATTAAAATTATCTTTTACAAAAGAAAAATGTTTTTTTTATTTAGGTGAGACAAATTTTGTAGATAATATTAATTTCTCTAGAAATTTTTGTAAAAAAAAGGAAGGCATTCATATTATTATTGAGAAACTTGAGGCTGTTATTGACGACATGGTTTATGAAATGAGAAGGATAAAAGAGTTATGGATTAAAAATAAATTTAAATAAATAATAATTGCACCAGGAACTGAATATTATCCAAAAACGTTTTGCCGAATCCTGTTTTATAAGTATTGATAAAAACAGTATTAATAAAAGTAACGATACCTTCCTTCTTACTATGAGAAAATTATTATGTCATTCACCCACAATTTTCTGTCAACTTTTTTTAGTTTCTTGGTTTATATTAATTTATATATATATTATATATATATATATATTATAATTATTTGATTTTCGAAGTTAAACTTCTTTAGGCGCGACTAGGAGAAACTCAGGCCAATTCGTCATTGGCCATCGGTGATTATTCAAAACAAGTTGGTACGATTGATTGATATCGCTTTGTCACGTGATATTTTTGATTCAGTCAGTTTTCAGTTTTTTTTTTAAGTAAAACTTGTTTAGACGCGACTAGGAGGTAGCTCAGCGAAAATGCAACGGAACAAATACTGATTTGTTATTGACAATGAATGTGGTCGAGATCGTATTGTTATGTGATATCTTTAATTCGGTGAAATTTCAGTTTTTTTAAAGTAAAACTTGTTTAGGCTCTACCAGGAGTAAGTCAGCGAAAATGCAACAGAAGTGCGTTACGCCACAAATACTGATTTGTTATTGACAATGGATGTGGTCGAGATCGTATTGTTACGTGATATCTTTAATTCTGTGAAATTTCATTTTTTTAAGTAAAACTTTTTTAGGCACGACTATGGAGTAGCTCAGCAAAAATGCAACGAAAGTGCGTTACGCCACAAATTTTAACTTGTCATTGGCTATCGATGTGGTCATTCAAAACGAGTTGAAGCGATTTGTATTATTGATATTTTTTATTCTGTGAACTTTCAGTTTATTGAAGTATAACTTCTTAAGGCGTGACTAGGACTAAAACCAAACTAAATTACTTTCGTCTTTAGTATGGGCTCGTGCTCTTACAATGCTTAAATCTCAAGGAATATTTTTGACAAGATAGTATATGAATATTGCAAAACTCATAATCAACAGCTGTTATATGTTGCATTTTTGTTATGGATTAATGGATTGTGCATTGAGGACAAAAAATGGTTCAAAACACGTTCAACAATAAAAAAAAAAGAGTGCGCGTAAGGATCACACGCGATTGAAGTAAAACTTTTAATATTGTATGAGTAGGCAATTAAGATAAAAATAAAAAAAACATATTTGAATTTTAAAAATCATTTATTAATAATCACATAACATCAATAACACAGTTTAAAACAACAGCGATAGATTAATTGCTATCATATTTCATATATGATATAATAGGTTTGTGATAACTGAAATGAGAGACATAAATTTTGCTTTGTAAACTATGTACATTTCTGGAGAAAACTGCATCAATAGTCGTGCCATATCTTGTGGTTGGTTCAAATGGAGAATTATTCATTGTTAAATTAAATTTATTATTTAAAAAATCAATTAATGGTTGAGATTCTTCTGAACGAAAATTGACATTGAAATCTCCAGCAAGAATTAATGGTATTTCGTTGTGATTAGTGTTTAACCTCATTGCACCCTCATTAGAAAAATAAAGTAACTGCTGATGAAGAAATTTAATAATATTTGATACGTTTTTATTGGGAGAAATTTAAAGGACGACTATAATTAATGTTTGATTCTGAGTGTTCACACAGCGGACAACTGCAATATCACCTACTTGTGTAATTTCATTAGGAATATCCAGTAATATTGTTGGCGCAAGAAACTGCATAGGAGTCGCACTATGAAGAGTATCTGAACATGAATGATAGACATTAGGCAGCTACACCACCTGCTCTTGAGTTTGATCGTTTGTATTGAGTAACGCAGTAATAGTTCTGAATATCAATTCGTTCTTCATTATTAATCCAAGATTCCGAAAATAACAAAAACGTACAACGTTGTAGCACTTTATCTTGCAGATCAGGCAAATGAGCTCGTAAACTTGGCAGTTAAAGGAAAACAATGAAATGTCGTTCAAACTTATTATCTCACTCAATTTTTCTTCTTGTGTTATTATCTACAAGTTGAAAGTCTTTGGAATTCAGTTTTTAAGTCCATTAATCCTGCTGGCCGTTTTCTTCTATGATACAATTTTTTGTCGTTGTTTTAGAGATGATGAACAATCCATTAATGTTGGTAACTCGTGATAATGCAACATATAGAAGCTGCTGATTATGTGTTTTATTGTATTCATATACAATTTTATCAAAAGTACCACCTTGTGATTTGTGTATTGTGAGTGCACAGCAGACACTAAAGGAAAATGATTTCTTTTGACAAATATGATTTTATTTCTATTCATTGGAATAGATGAAGATCTCCTGAGAATCGGCACAGCTGTCCTACTGATATTAAGAGTTTGAATATGATGTGCAGCTTTCTTTCTAATTTTGTTACCTATCTTACCAGGAAATTCAAACCATAACGTAGAAGTTCATCATTATCGCCACGTTCTATGTAAAACTAATTTTCCTACACAACCATAGCTAAGCCACCACTCACATCAATATTAGTTGTTAT